ACATGTTCCTGACAGGCACTAATAGATGACACTCCTTTCCGGCTTTGCGCTGGGTCGACTTTGAGCACGTTTTCAGCATAGATTTTCCTTGTTAAGAAAATGGGATGAAAATTGTTCTCGTAACCCTGTTATTTCCACTAACGAACTAACTCTGTGCCTGTAACAATATGCTACGTGTAAATTTAAGTGGCCCAATAATTTAACCTAAACGTGAAAGGTGGACTTAAAGAAAAATTTCACGTTATTTACCCTCCATTTATATTTTGGAGACTAATAAGAGAGCGCAAAGTCCAATTCCTTCTAAAATTCAAATGAAAACTGCCCTGTGCAGTTTGTCTCGGGGGAGGGGGGGGAGGAAAGAGGCGGCGAAGGAAAGGGGTGTTGTTCATGCACATAAACAAGAAAGTATTATAGGATAGCACCTTTTTTCCCTTTGGGTTCATCATGGTTTTAATTCTCAAACGGAACTCGTGAGTGCGATCAGCTAAGTAGTCCGCTGACTTCAGCAACGGCATATCCACCTTTCCAACTGCCGGCCATGATGCATCCATAATACTACCGGTCTGCCAATAAAAGAATAAGAAACCGTGCTCAGTTTTGAAATTTGTCACAATTGTTCATCATCACCGAATATTATATATCAAACATTATTAAATAATTCCTCGCGTAAGAAAACAAACAAGTTTATCGGTGCGTTGTTTTAGCCTGATAGGTCTGTCGTTTTGTAAGAGTGCCAAACACGAAGGTACACACGAGGCCACACGCCAGGCTATACCCAAGGACCCTGAATCGCTTTTTCGTCTGGTTTAACAAAAAATCAGGTCTAAAATGCACTATTACAATTGATCTAACTATTTTAACCTCTATAAGGGAATTATAACTTTCCAACAGTAGCATATAATCTTATATGCTTCTGCCCTCACACGGAGAAGAAATCATAGCTTGACTTTCCAGGGATCAAAAATATAAATGGAGCGAAGTACTTTCTCTGATTTTTTTCCATAGCGCACCTTGCCGTTGAGTTCCCAGAGATGCTCGGCAAGATGTGGGCAGATGGGACACAGCAACAGGGTTTGAACCTAACAACACAAACAGATAAAGAAATCAGGTTACAGCCGTGAGAAGCCTAGAAAAGTGCAGCTTTTCTGACGCAGTCCCTATTGAAAGCAGTTTTCAGGAGGTAACCTTGCTTATGTTATCACTACACTCAGAGTAACTTGCCTGGGAAAAGGAAAATCACATATACCTTGAAAATTTCTTGTTGAATGTTTGGTGGGAAACGGATACAGTATGCATATAACCGAAATAGGATCTTCAAGAAACTGCTGGGGCTTAAAATACTGGAACCCAGATCTCCCCAAGGGGATCTTCAGAGAACGGCAATGATAAAAAAAAAACGACAAGAACACACCTAACGAGAAACTATGTCTCACAGTTTCATTCAACACCAATCAACTTGGAACTACGTTAAAAAACAACCTTCGCACAGCACACTACCTCGATGAACCGAAACACAAGGTCTTTATGCATGCCCATCATACAGCCCTCCCGGTATCGGTCCCTTGCTGCCTGCAGTTCATAGAAGCCCGTTTTGAGTGCCTCTCTGTACATCATGTTCTTATAGTTTGTATCAGAATCTTCTATAGCTTTGTTGATGGAGCTACAATTTAAGTAATCAGTTGCCTCTCATTAGTAGAGCTTCTAAACACGTCAAAAGTCGCAAGCCGGATCAATAAAAACGATATTTACACGAATTATCACCAAAGTTACCTTTCAAACACTCGATCATCGTAACATGTTGCAGGCCCCTTGCGCAGAGAATCTTTGCTGGCAAGCATCTCCTGTGTTTAAAGAGTACGTCGGGATTTAACACTCGAAATAGCGAGGAGATATATTTAAGCGACTGGATGTCTTGTGCTGGACTTCAGACTATTTTCAGATTACTTCTGAAAATAGCCAATGTTGTGCCAATTCACTAAAAGGTCCTGAAAGGATTAAGTCTTTAGAGGGGATGGAATTTGCTATCTGATTCTTTATTATAAAATATGGCTGACTGCTTACTCAGAACCTCCTCAATGTTTACACACAACAACGTAACAGAGCATAAGAGCCTGGTAAAGAATCTACTCTGATACATTTTTTAACTCAATCCACGATGAGGAATTATTTGTCCTGACCTTTGTCCACTCGAGGAAAGTGAACAGACGTAAGATTCCTGCATCAGCCATCAACTCTACAAAGTTTGCATCTTCCATTGTGTCTCCAGCATCAGCCAGGGCCAGGCGCATGCCTAAAACGGGAAAAATGTCGGGGGAACGGAAGTTGGCTTAAAGGATGGACGAGAGAAGGTGACAAGAGACTGGACGACAAATGACATAAAAAGAGGGAAGACAGGGGAGGGTCAAACTAACCATCAGCGGAAAACTTTTCAACAGCTTGTTTCAGAGTAAGAAAGTTTCCAGTCGATTTCGACATCTAGAAATCAAAATCATACATATGAGATATCACCCGTCGACATCTATTTTAACATAAAACTGACGACAACTTACACAGCTGAATGATACACATTCATGATGCTGTAAAATAATCCAAACATTTAGAGAAAATTAAACAATCCTTTACACAATACCTTCTCAGAGTTGAGTAACAAGTGTCCATTGGCCCTCACGCTTCGAGGCCACCTTTGAAAAATTAAACATAAAAAAAGAAACATTTAGTAAATTCTAAGCGGGTAGTTTTGAACATTCCTGCCTACCTGGCGTCGCTTGATGCCTTGTTTAACTCATTTCCTTTCATATCATACCATATCATGGGCTTCAGACTAAAGCCAAAATTTGCCAAAATTTTAAAGGTTGTGCCTTGGTACTGTCGTCCTGATGGGAATCAGTAATAGATAAAAGCAAAAAAAGTTCCAAGACGCGATCTCATTGATTGATGAATTTTTCAGACTTCTTTTATGCAATGACCTTATTTGCACTTAAACTGTGATTATAATTGGTCAGTTCTTACTGAAGAATGCGATTCTGTTTCATCGAAGAAAATGTCCACCAACTTTTTCAGATGAGCTTATTGTTTATTAACTAAAACAGTACAACACAGAAAATCTCATCTTTCTGAATATGCTCACTTGTCTTTCTCGTTTGGCCACACAGCGCAGTGATTGTACAGGAAGAATGTCAAGTGATTTGGCACCAGATCTTTCCCAGACACACGTAAGTCTACTGGGTACCAGTACTTGAATTCTTGACGAAGTTTTCTGAGGGAAAAAAATTTAAAAGTGATTTAGGTCTCGCTGGCTCCTGAAGAAT